CGCAAAAAGGTATAAAAACAGACAATTTTCTCCAAAAATTATAGTTTACAAAACTCATAACTAAGCCAAAAAATCATTCATTTCAATTCGGAAAGCTGTTCTATACTAGTTTTAGTAGATTAACAAATTGCATACTCAGTTTTTAAATTTAAAAAATTCAATTTATTGTCAAATTTTGGCAATTTTAACGATGTAACCCCTTATAAAATTTTCCATTTTCGAAAAAGATTGAAAAATTTATTTTTCGACCGGACATGCTAGAACGATTGGGCGGTTGATGCTGATCAAGAATATATATGGTTTATAGGGTCGGAAATGACTCCTTCACTGTGTTTTAATCTTCTGACTGAAGCCATACTCTGCCAAAAAGGTATAAAAACAGACCATTTTCCTAAATAATTTCAGTTTTCCAAACATCATAACTAAGCCAAAATAGCATTAATTTTGATGCGGAAAGCTTTTCTGTGCAAGTTTTTATAGCACTAACAAATCTGCATACTGCGTTTATTGATGCTATAATAAGTTTCTGAATAAAATTATAATAACCCGCAAAAAGGTATAAAAACAGACAATTTTCTCCAAAAATTATAGTTTACAAAACTCATAACTAAGCCAAAAAATCATTCATTTCAATTCGGAAAGCTGTTCTATACTAGTTTTTAGTAGATTAACAAATTGCATACTCAGTTTTTAAATTTAAAAAATTCAATTTATTGTCAAATTTGGCAATTTTAACGATGTAACCCCTTATAAAATTTTCCATTTTCGAAAAAGATTGAAAAATTTATTTTTCGACCGGACATGCTAGAACGATTGGGCGGTTGATGCTGATCAAGAATATATATGGTTTATAGGGTCGGAAATGACTCCTTCACTGTGTTTTAATCTTCTGACTGAAGCCATACTCTGCCAAAAAGGTATAAAAACAGACCATTTTCCTAAATAATTTCAGTTTTCCAAACATCATAACTAAGCCAAAATAGCATTAATTTTGATGCGGAAAGCTTTTCTGTGCAAGTTTTTATAGCACTAACAAATCTGCATACTGCGTTTATTGATGCTATATAAGTTTCTGAATAAAATTATAATAACCCGCAAAAAGGTATAAAAACAGACAATTTTCTCCAAAAATTATAGTTTACAAAACTCATAACTAAGCCAAAAAATCATTCATTTCAATTCGGAAAGCTGTTCTATGCTAGTTTTTAGTAGATTAACAAATCTGCATACTCAGTTTTTAAATTTAAAAAATTCAATTTATTGTCAAATTTTGGCAATTTTAACGATGTAACCCCTTATAAAATTTTCCATTTTCGAAAAAGTTTGAAAAATTTATTTTTCGACCGGACATGTCTAGAACGATTGGGCGGTTGATGCTGATCAAGAATATATATGGTTTATAGGGTCGGAAATGACTCCTTCACTGTGTTTTAATCTTCTGACTGAAGCCATACTCTGCCAAAAAGGTATAAAAACAGACCATTTTCCTAAATAATTTCAGTTTTCCAAACATCATAACTAAGCCAAAATAGCATTAATTTTGATGCGGAAAGCTTTTCTGTGCAAGTTTTTATAGCACTAACAAATCTGCATACTGCGTTTATTGATGCTATAATAAGTTTCTGAATAAAATTATAATAACCCGCAAAAAGGTATAAAAACAGACAATTTTCTCCAAAAATTATAGTTTACAAAACTCATAACTAAGCCAAAAAATCATTCATTTCAATTCGGAAAGCTGTTCTATACTAGTTTTTAGTAGATTAACAAATTGCATACTCAGTTTTTAAATTTAAAAAATTCAATTTATTGTCAAATTTCGGCAATTTTAACGATGTAACCCCTTATAAAATTTTCCATTTTCGAAAAAGATTGAAAAATTTATTTTTCGACCGGACATTGCTAGAACGATTGGGCGGTTGATGCTGATCAAGAATATATATGGTTTATAGGGTCGGAAATGACTCCTTCACTGTGTTTTAATCTTCTGACTGAAGCCATACTCTGCCAAAAAGGTATAAAAACAGACCATTTTCCTAAATAATTTCAGTTTTCCAAACATCATAACTAAGCCAAAATAGCATTAATTTTGATGCGGAAAGCTTTTCTGTGCAAGTTTTTATAGCACTAACAAATCTGCATACTGCGTTTATTGATGCTATAATAAGTTTCTGAATAAAATTATAATAACCCGCAAAAAGGTATAAAAACAGACAATTTTCTCCAAAAATTATAGTTTACAAAACTCATAACTAAGCCAAAAAATCATTCATTTCAATTCGGAAAGCTGTTCTATGCTAGTTTTTAGTAGATTAACAAATTTGCATACTCAGTTTTTAAATTTAAAAATTCAATTTATTGTCAAATTTTGGCAATTTTAACGATGTAACCCCTTATAAAATTTTCCATTTTCGAAAAAGATTGAAAAATTTATTTTTCGACCGGACATTGCTAGAACGATTGGGCGGTTGATGCTGATCAAGAATATATATGGTTTATAGGGTCGGAAATGACTCCTTCACTGTGTTTTAATCTTCTGACTGAAGCCATACTCTGCCAAAAAGGTATAAAAACAGACCATTTTCCTAAATAATTTCAGTTTTCCAAACATCATAACTAAGCCAAAATAGCATTAATTTTGATGCGGAATGCTTTTCTGTGCAAGTTTTTATAGCACTAACAAATCTGCATACTGCGTTTATTGATGCTATAATAAGTTTCTGAATAAAATTATAATAACCCGCAAAAAGGTATAAAAACAGAGAATTTTCTCCAAAAATTATAGTTTACAAAACTCATAACTAAGCCAAAAAATCATTCATTTCAATTCGGAAAGCTGTTCTATGCTAGTTTTTAGTAGATTAACAAATCTGCATACTCAGTTTTTAAATTTAAAAAATTCAATTTATTGTCAAATTTTGGCAATTTTAACGATGTAACCCCTTATAAAATTTTCCATTTTCGAAAAAGTTTGAAAAATTTATTTTTCGACCGGACATGTCTAGAACGATTGGGCGGTTGATGCTGATCAAGAATATATATGGTTTATAGGGTCGGAAATGACTCCTTCACTGTGTTTTAATCTTCTGACTGAAGCCATACTCTGCCAAAAAGGTATAAAAACAGACCATTTTCCTAAATAATTTCAGTTTTCCAAACATCATAACTAAGCCAAAATAGCATTAATTTTGATGCGGAAAGCTTTTCTGTGCAAGTTTTTATAGCACTAACAAATCTGCATACTGCGTTTATTGATGCTATAGTAAGTTTCTGAATAAAATTATAATAACCCGCAAAAAGGTATAAAAACAGACAATTTTCTCCAAAAATTATAGTTTACAAAACTCATAACTAAGCCAAAAAATCATTCATTTCAATTCGGAAAGCTGTTCTATGCTAGTTTTTAGTAGATTAACAAATTTGCATACTCAGTTTTTAAATTTAAAAAATTCAATTTATTGTCAAATTTTGGCAATTTTAACGATGTAACCCCTTATAAAATTTTCCATTTTCGAAAAAGTTTGAAAAAATTATTTTTCGACCGGACATTGCTAGAACGATTGGGCGGTTGATGCTGATCAAGAATATATATGGTTTATAGGGTCGGAAATGACTCCTTCACTGTGTTTTAATCTTCTGACTGAAGCCATACTCTGCCAAAAGGTATAAAAACAGACCATTTTCCTAAATAATTTCAGTTTTCCAAACATCATAACTAAGCCAAAATAGCATTAATTTTGATGCGGAAAGCTTTTCTGTGCAAGTTTTTATAGCACTAACAAATCTGCATACTGCGTTTATCGATGCTATAATAAGTTTCTGAATAAAATTATAATAACCCGCAAAAAGGTATAAAAACAGACAATTTTCTCCAAAAATTATAGTTTACAAAACTCATAACTAAGCCAAAAAATCATTCATTTCAATTCGGAAAGCTGTTCTATGCTAGTTTTTAGTAGATTAACAAATCTGCATACTCAGTTTTTAAATTTAAAAAATTCAATTTATTGTCAAATTTTGGCAATTTTAACGATGTAACCCCTTATAAAATTTTTCATTTTCGAAAAAGATTGAAAAATTTATTTTTCCACCAGACATGGCTGGAACGATTGGGCGGTTGATGCTGATCAAGAATATATATGGTTTATAGGGTCGGAAATGACTCCTTCACTGTGTTTTAATCTTCTGACTGAAGCCATACTCTGCCAAAAAGGTATAAAAACAGACCATTTTCTTAAATAATTTCAGCTTTCCAAACTTCATAACTAAGCCAAAATAGCATTAATTTTGATTCGGAAAGCTTTTCTGTGCAAGTTTTTTTAGCACTAAAAAATCTGCATACTGCGTTTATTGCTGCTATAATAAGTTTCTGAATAAAATTATAATAACCCGCAAAAAGGTTTAAAAACAGACAATTTTCTCCAAAAATTATAGTTTACAAAACTCATAACTAAGCGATAAAATCATTCATTTCAATTCGGAAAGCTGTTCTATGCTAGGTTTAAGTGGATTAACAAAGCTGGATAGATTTTTAATTTGTCAAATTTCTATTATGAGAAAATTAAAACTCTAATCAACGTTTACTTCAATTTTCTATTAGGTTCTTTTAGATTTTCTAAATGTTACAATATTTGAAATTGTCATTTGTGTTAATTTTTAGCCATTTTAAAACACATTTAATTTAATTTAAATTTTGATAATATACCTGGGTTACATCAACTTATTCTGACGAAAAATAACGGTTAATTTAAGCTGGTGTTAACGCGTCGCTATCAATTTAACAGTATTTTAATACCATACTCACGCCAATCGGTTTTGTTAATTTATTTACCTTTTAAACTTTAATTTTACATTGAACAGTTTAAATGCATATTTGTTTTTTGCCTCATTAACTATTTAGTTTTTAACTATTGTTTAAATCTAGGTTTTTTCTTTTCGAGTATTAATACGGTCACTCGCAAAAACTCCTAGTGTTGGATAATCCCAAGTTCTGGCGACTTCGGTCGTTGCCCAACACGTAAGGGTTCTGACTGCTCTTACATACAAATGTACATATAAACTAACAAATTAGTCTTCGTTTATTATAGAAAATGGAAGAAAATGAGACCCACACAGAAGCCAAAGTGTCCGCGGAGCCGGCTAATGGTAAGTGCGCAGCCAGTACCTTTCGGTTAGTAACGCCTCATTCGTTCTTTAGGTGAAGATGACGCGCCCAGCCAGCACGATCTAATTATCCTGCAAGCCGAGATGCGTAAAATGCAAAACGAGTTTAATACGCAACGGGCAAAGATGCGGGAGCTATATATACAGAAGGAGGCAGAGGTCAGCCAGAGCCAGGCTGAGCGCAGGCAGCTGCAGGAGGAGCTGGACGAGCTGAAGACCCACCTTATGGTGGCGGACCTCAAGTCCGAGAACGAGATGCAGCTGAGGGATATTAAGGCCCAAGAGGAGATTTCATCGCTACAGCAGCTAGTGCAGGACACCATTGAGGAGTCCTCCCATTACAAGGCGGAGCTGGAGCATCTTAAGCTTGAGCTGAGCAAATACCACCAGATTCACCAGCAAACGCAGACCCTGGCTCAGCAACCGCAGGCTGAGTCATCCGGCGGAATCGCGCCCCAAGTGCTGAATCAGGTTAAGAAGACGCTGGGCTCGGTGCGCAAGCTGGGCAGCGACTCGCTGAACAGCAGCTTTCAGCAAGAGGATGACAATCGTGGATCGGGAAAAGGCAATGGAAAGCAATTTGTAAGTGGCTTGTAAAGATTGCTCCATCAGTTTCCTTACATAAATTCACCTTTTAGCCTTCTGAGGAAGCGGAAATGCTGCACTCGATTGTAGAGCAGCTGCAGGAGGAGATGAAGGCGCTAAAGGTGAAGTTGCGCGAGCAGGATGAGCAACTGCAGTCCCGATTAGCAGTCAGCAAAGAGGAGTCGTCGGTACACGATGCATCCGCCATGCACAAGTCCACGTCCATGGATGTGGCCGAATCGGGCTGCGAGGCCTGCAGTGTGGCGGAGAAAAGGGCCGAGGAGCTAAACGCACACATTAAAAAGCAACAGAAGCAGGTGGAGCTGCTGCAGAAGCAGTTGGCTGAATCCCGCGAGAGTATGGCAAAAGAGGCAGCGCTGCGGAAGGAGCTGGAGGACCAGTGGCAGGAGAAACGTGAGGCCCACAAGAGCGAAGTACAAAGTCTGCGCGAGCAGGCAAAAACGAACGAGCAGCGACTACTCGACATGCAGCAGAAGTTCCTCGAGACCAAGGATGAGGTAATGAAGCAGATACAGCGTGTCACTGATGACAGGGAGCGCGTCAACAAGCAGCTGGAGACGTTGCAGGCGGACAACGACTTTCTGTCAGGACGCTACCTGGCCACATCGGAAGAGATCGAGAATCAATACATTAATTTGCCCAACACGGTCGTCGAGCTGCAGGAATTGATTCTCCGCCAGCAAAACGAGCTGATCCAGGCTCGTCTCAGCAGCGAGTACGAGCGACAAAAGTGCCTGAGCACCCTGGACGAGACTCAAATCCTGCGGGCCCAGCTGGAAGAGAGCAACAACGAGCGTCGGTCCTATAAGCGCAAAATGCAACTAGATATTAAGTCATTGCAGTAAGTATAAGCTTGGCACCCGATATGTGTAGCTCAGGCTCATGCTCACTCTATATTCACAGGGATCGTGTGACGGAGCACTTGGTCACGGTGCAGGCGCACGAGACGACAAAAACTCAACTAGAGCGCAAAGAGGCTGAGCTCAATAAGCAGTTGTCCGAGTGTCGCGTGGAAATTATAGAACTGCAGGAGGCGAATGTAAGTAGTGGTGATACTTCCTGTCTGTTTCGCTTCCAACTAATCCCTTTTTCGCAGGAGAAGTATGCCAAGACCAACGCGGAATACAAGACGAAGATAAAAACGCTGCAAGAGGAGCTCTCCACCATGGAGACCGTTCAGAAGGATTTCGTCAAACTATCTCAAACCCTGCAGGTGGGTGCAATAAAAATATAAAAATATGGTTTATTCACTTGAATACATTTTTTTGCATATTATCCCTAGATGTCGTTGGAGGAGCTGCGGCACGCTGATACGGAAGTGCGCTGGCAGGACGACGATGATGTGAATAATTGTCCCGTGTGCAACGCCGGCTTTACGGTTATGGTACGAAAGATCCACTGCCGGCACTGTGGTCACATCTACTGCGACAAGTGTCTAACGAAAACGGTGCCATCTGGGCCACGGAAGCGTGTGGCCCGAGTCTGTGATATTTGTCACACGCTGCTCACGCCAAATACAGCACCCTACTTCAGCCAGGGACAGGCGCCGCAGCTGGCGCAGCAGCAGCAGGGACAGCATCATCAGTCCAATTAGGCAGCCGGGCTTTAAGCCCTAGTTATTGTGTGTGTGCGACCATGTATTGCTCTGTTTCCGCGCTCCTTAACGATTTACGATTTGGGGGTCAAACCTTTCCATTTGCCGTCTTAGGTCGAGTCATATCCACTTTCGCCAATGTTTTATTTTTCGATTTTAATGTACCTCTGTGCTCCATTTATGTTGATCATTTAGTTGTCTATAAGCTTTTGTCGTAGGTAAGTTTTCATAATTGAATTAAACTCAAAGCAAATATACAAATTAAAAACAAATTGCGTTTGTTTGTAATCTACTTAAACCAACTTCGCCTGCAATAAGAGAGGGAGCAACAATTAAATGAAAATTATACTTAGGTCGTGACATGCAACAAAGGGTTCGCTTGGGTTTGTTCGGGTTTTGGTTTATTCCAAAGTACAAGGCAAACGAGGTTTGTAAATTAGTTTAACAATTGTATTTGTGTCTTCATTTGGTTGCGAGGAGCTAGGATTGGCTTAGGTATTTTCTAAATATATTAAAAATTAATAACAATGTCGGGCATGCCCATGTAAATTCTGTATGTACAACTCTCACTTCAACAACTAGCGCATAATGAAAATCTAATACTGCAATCTCTTGAACAACTACAAACACTACACACGCAAACACGGGGGGGGAATCACATTCGCATTGGGGGAGCAATTACACATTATTTGGCACAGAGTCTCTGCGGAAGAGATTAGAAAAGAAAAAAAATCAAATTAGAGATAATTAGGCTGTGGAAAGGGATTTTGGTCGCTTACCTCACCATAGAACACGACCTGCTATCAGAGCTACTATGGTAACAGCTGCCACGCCCACAATGCTCATCACGCGAGAAACTACAGGATTGGGAAAAGGAAAGACATTCAGATCAGTGATAGTAGTTTTTGAGGTATTTTGTACGTATTAATAGTGGTAGTATTAAATTATATTATATGGAAATTAGCAGACTTTTTAAAGCATAATAAAATCTAATTGTGGAAGCAGTAGTCTCGTTTACATTTATATGCCACCCTCGATCGGTCTATTTTATAGGAAATGTGAGGGGTTAGCCGGGTCTGTCATGGATCTGGTGCTGGTGTTGATGCTGGGGTACACATGCGTGCCGACATTCACAAACAGAAATCAACCAATTGGACACTTACGCGTGAATCCACACCTTGACTGCGCGGTGCTCGGCCTTCTGTGAGACATTTAATGTTTTGATTGGACATTGCTTGAATTTGGACAAGTCACAGGAGCGGACGAAACACATTGGTTAACAGAGAGTACACATATGCTGGATCCTGCCTCCTGCCGGTGCTGACTGACTGTACTGTGGTGCTGTGATGCGTCGTGATTCGCAGTGCTTGGCTCGGGATGTCGATTGTTCGCGGTACAGAGATAGGTTACAGACAGCGGCATAGATATAAGGATAGATAGTGTGGTGGAGAGAGAGCGTTTCCTTAGCCTAAATATGAGCAAAAATGAGCGCTTCTGGATGGATTCCTATACATTTTCTACTAATATATGCATGTAGATATCAAAGTTTTCGATGGAGCTTTGGCCTTGAGCCAGTGATGACAATGGTGACTATGGTGATGTCTAATGGAAAGCGTTTCGGCTTGCGTTCGTTCGCTCTACAGATTCATTCTATTGCGGCTGTTCACCTGCTGCACCGCCTCGACCTCCGGCATTGTCCATATCGCGGCCGTGCTTGCTCAGCCACTCGATTACCACGCCGTTGGACCAGCCAAACCCGGTCTGTACGCCGTACTCGCCACCGCCACCATGTCCTCCAAACTGTTCCGCGTTGTACTGAAGAAGAGAGGATCAAACAAACGTATTTAGATGATACCTTGGATCTGAATCAAGATCAGAGATGCCTCCTACTTCCTAAATTATCAACCTTCGCCCTTGGCTTACCTTCTCGTACATGTGGAAGTTATCACTGTAAGCCTTAAAGTTAGACTTCACCCAGCGGATGGCCCACGACTTGGACAAATTCTTGGCCTCGGGTGTATTCAGGTTGTTCAGACCCTCAACCACAATGTACTGCAGCGGGGCCCACACGTTGGGGAAGTCCCATTGCTCTCCGGTTTGGTACAGTGTATTGGGAACACCGCCGGGGAATGTGTCCAGCTTGTTATCCGCAATATACTTCAGCACCGACTTGGAGATCTTCTCGGAGTCGGAAATATTGTAGGCCTTTACCCACAGCGGCGAGAGATTGGTGCCCACGAAATAGTTGCGCGGCTTCTGGTTGATCATGTCATAGTCCAGCCAGCAACCGACTTCCTCGTTCCACAGTACTTCCTGGATGCCCTGTTAGAATTATATATAGATGTTTGGTTAGTTCATTATTTATTTATGAAAATAACAAATTCCAAATGAAACTGGATGCAAACCCTATTATGAGTTTGATTGTTTTGTATTATCTGTTAATATTATTTCAGTATTAAATATGGCTTTTGTGTGACGAACTGCGGTTATGAGGAAGGAAATCTCGAGTGATATTAGGAAAACTGATGAATGAGGTCACTTACTTGCAGCAGCTTCTGAGCCTTGTTCTCGTACTCGGTGACCTTTTCAATGTTGCCTGCCTTTGCGTGGAACTCGGCTATCAGCTTGGCGTTCCAGTACAGGAAGGCGTTTAGGTCGACCGGGACAATGGAGCGGGTTTTCAGATGTGTAAGGTTGCCCACATTGGTACCATTCTCATTGATGAACCAGCGGGAGCTGAAATCCATACCCGATTCGGCCGCCGATTTGAGCTCACTATAATGGTCCTCCTTGGCCTCCTCGGTGTCAAAGTTCTCGGCTGTCTCCACATCCTCGCTGTAGGACTCTGGCCGCGGGCCCGTCGACGAGTCACGGTAGACGGTCAGGTTGTGACCCTTAACCTGCACCGTGTGGTTATTCACAAAGTACTCGTACTCGTGCTCCAGCACCTCCAGTGCATTGATAGCGAACAGGTCGTCATTCGTGAAGTCCACATATGACTTGACCATTCCGGTCAGTAGTGGCGGCTGGGAGCGTCCGTGGTAGTACACTCGGCCACCGTTCGGAATGAAACCAATCCTCTTTACGATCGACATGAAGTTCTCGATCATGCCGCGAGCAGTTTCATGCATGTCGCTGTAGAGCAGTCCGCGGATAATCCAGTAAGAGTCCCAGTAGTAGAACTCGATGAAGCGACCGCCAGGTATGATGACCGGATTCGGTACCGGGATAATGGAGTAGTACTCGGGGTTCTTTAGGACATCGTCCTTCATTTTACGTCCCAGATCTCTCCAAATGTTATTCAGCTCCATGCCCCACTGTTTAAGGTCCGGGTCGGGAATCAGATCGAGAAAGCTGGGATTCTCCTTCCAGTCCGTGGGCGTCCACACCTCCAGTTCGGTACCCTTGGGGCTGAAGTACTCCTGCAAATGCAAATTACCATTCTTTATTTGCTCCCAGCGAAGAGATCTACGGAGCTGAGTTCACTTACATCAACGAACTGCTTCAAGTCGTCCCTGCTGGGTGTCCTGTTCTTGGCCTCCATCATAGCCTCAAAGTCCGCCAGGGTCTTGGCTGGCGGATTGTTCAGTTTCATGTCCACAAAGGTCTTTGAGTCCGCGAACAACTTGGCCATTTGGATGGTGTGCAGCAGGTCACCAGTACAGTAGATTTGACTGGAAATTAGGCAAATGATAAATTTTTGAATCGTCCAAATACAGGTGTTTTTGTGCATAATAATATTTGTCGAAGGCAAATTTAATAAAGGTAAAGAAATGTTCATTTAAAATGGGGGATGTAGTGCCATTACTGAATTTGATGCTCATGCAATTCGTTTAAAGTAAAGACATTAAACCATGTGTTAAACGGTTTTACTAGATATTCAAAAGGTAATTATTCTTAAATTATTCACAATACAAAATGTTATCTCGTCAAAATTTACCTCATTACTCACACAATCTTTGTCACTTCCCCCACATTAAGTAATGTTTAACTAAGTCCCGGATGACTTACGTAAGTTATCTAATTCCCGCCATATAAAGAGCATAACACTGGCTATTCTCATATAGTACACACACACACACTACTGACGTCATTAATTAGTGCAAATAATTCACAAATTAAATGGATTTAATGCCACTGTAGCCCGAGTATCCAGCTGGTGCTGCTAAGTGAACACCTGTCTAAAGTATCTATCGTTCAATCGAATCTCTTGATCTCAGATACGACTATAGCTAAGGCACGAATATCCAACTCGTCACGTTTATGGGACTGGGGAAAGGAAAGCACTCAAGCTGAACTCATATATAGTAATGCTGGCTAGTACTTTGCATACATGAACGCTCCGGAGAACCACCAATTAAAGATCAGAGTCCGGAAGTCTGCGGCCCATTCTATTTCACTTACCAACTGTCGAACGGATCGGTGTCCACATCCTTGGCAATGGCGTTATCATTGTCTGTGGTGAAGTCAATGGGCGAATCGATGGACTTTGCCTGGGCAAGGACTGCCAGGCAACTCCAGCTCGCAAGGAGCAGCTGGATGTTCACTAACTTGGTCATAGCACTTTAGGAACTCTTTTCGCTTATCTAAGGCTAATTACTTAAGGATCCAGCTGGTTAAAGCGGTGTCTGAGTTGTAAGTAAGTACAAATTGTTGCAGTTTGCTGGCTGATATACACATATATATCCCTATGCGGACAGGATATGCTCGCGATCCCCGAATGCGATCTGCTGAGCACAAGCACAACCAGCGCCAGTCAGCGCAAGAATACTTCTAACTGTTTCGCTGGATTCCATTTTTATAAAAAAAAACCCCCCATACATAAATCTACGACGACGACGAGCGATCGGAAAGCGAACGATCGTTGATCGTTGGCGCCTCGGGTGGGGAGCTGGAGGCTAGTTGTCGGTTTCGGATTTGGATTTGGATTCGGATTTGGATCCGATGGGGTGTGGAGCGGGGTGAACACCTAGTCGTGCTTTGGGGGCGCGTTCAGTCTATTTTTAAAAACGTCAAAGTGGCCCGAAACCGACACAGCAGGTTCACTTGCTCGAAGTCTCGTGAACCTGGCAATGCATCTGCTGCTTGCTAACTGGATCAATGTATCCGTATCTGTTGGATATTATATGAAGAGTTTAGCTTTTTGGCACAACTGCCGTTTGAATATTCATTGTGTGTAGCCTTGAAATATATATATTTATCCATATTTATCTGTAATTATATATCCATAACTATTATATCGCCTAATAGGCGCTGGTCCACCCGGTACCCGCATCGAGTACATTTTAAGTTCGCCTTGTTCTGTTTGGGGAAGGCACCACTGTAATGCCAAGGCATTTCTACTGATAGCCCAAAATTTCGGGGATTTTAGGCCTAGTTTAAATGCTAATTAACACTGTTCCAATTACAAAAAGATTGGAAAATTCCGCTAAATGTTTTTCGCTGTCCAAGTAACCTGCTTGTAAGACTATTATCAAGAATCCTGAAATACATTACACATATCTCTGGATAACCAAATGATTTGCATTAAAATTTAGCATGTTAAAGCAAACTAGGTCGCACTATTAATGGCTTAAAAAATAAACTCGGATATTGTCTTATTAGAATGGGTTATCCGCGTTAGTGGCACGTGTGTCTGCCCCAAAATAATGGACCGGAATTGCGACGTTTAGCATGAATGTCGCTCTACGTACATAACTATATACGTAGTATGGACCTAACGAGTCTTAATTGAACTGATTTGCTGAATAAGGATTGCTTTCGCAGATTAACAAATGGATATATATATAATCAAGATCAAAACGTAAGGCGCATATAGTGGCTATATATAACCGAATCCAAATATAACACAATTCCATCCAAAGGTCATTAGATCGTGAAATCTATTCTTGTAAGTCTTCCTATTACAGCATCTCTAGACCTGACTATGCTTCCATAATATCTTTAAGAACATTAAGTGGCTCTGAGTTATGATGAATTAGTTTTATATGGGATCTGGTCTTCTGCGCAGTGCGATGATATAACACTGAGATCGGGAAACAACAAATGGGAAACCGAATAATCGGAACCATTGTGCAATTTTAATTCAACCTTACGGGAGTGAGAGCTCAGAATCAGATATAAAATGAGAACGGGAATCGAACCTACAGCCTCGAGCCTCATTGTTCTGACATTCTGTGACGACAGCGGACAGTTGCAGTTGCAACTGAATCAATGATTTCTGTCGTCACAAGCGTTAACATTTCATGATTCCATTAGGAAAACGATTAACTTTCAGAATAAGAGAACTCTATTACTTAACCCACTGCAGCTTGCTTGGCTGTCTTCAGGGGCAAAGTTTATCTAACTTTTATTTTGGCGTACTTCCGACATGACGGAGCTCAACATAATAAACCAATATTTAAACTGCTGTAAGGGTTTTTGTTTTTAAAACTATAAATAACATAGGCAACCGTTGATGACAAATATCAGTCACAACAGCTGGGCTCTGCTACGTGCAATGAGTTTCCAAACAGTTTGCGTTTGGGAATTCAAAAATTTGTTGAATCTTTAAATATTGTTGGTCTTGGATTCCCCCCGGTGGGGGCTTCCGATTCCGCATAGCATGGATATTCAAACAATTCCGCCTTTAGTTCCTGATAAATCATAATGCAGTCGAGACCCTCCTAAAGATGATATCACAACTATACAACCGAATAGCTAGCATTTAGTAGGGACTTTCAAGTACGTGAAGGCAATAATCAAGTTTCCTGAATGGGGGATGTTCGTTCACACTCCCACCATTCATCTGGTTTATTATGTTTGCCAATGAAATTATAAAACGTTTATATAGATCTCGATTATGAATCGCAATTGTCGTCATCGGGGGAAGCGCTAAGTGACCGGGTGCCTTCAATGTGACGTCTTTGTTCGAACACAATGACCAAACGGGCTTTCGATTCCGATTTTTGAACTCGGCTCGACTCGGCCTGGCTAGAAAACAAAACGTTGCCAAAATCATCCAAGGACAATATTAATCATTATGTGGGCCATTCAACGCGCTCGCTTAATTGCCGCTTTAGTTAATCGCTACACTAGCTATAATAAGGCACGGTCCGTTTGATGGTTGAGCCAAAAAATTTCAAACAAATACCTGAACTTCATATCGGTACGGTACACTCCGCTGACATGTTTAAACATTCGAGAGGAAAACATTCGGAGAAGCAAATACAAAAACTGGAAATGTAATTAAGAAGCCTGCATCGGGTTGAATTAACTTGTTTTAGATCTTGCACGATTCGCTTTGCTTAACGGTTCAAATACATTCGCAAAAGACCTTCCAAAGGTCATTGATACGCACAAAAAATGATTTGATTTATTCTATGAAGGAAATCCCTAAGCTTAGGACATAATATCAAATTATATATCTATCATGCCACAATTACATATCATTATTCAATCCGAGATTGCCAGCTCAATTAATAAAGAAGTACTCGACCTACAATTATAGTACTCGGCCATATTGAGTAGGCTTATCGATCGCTTATCAGAACCAAGACATTGAACTTAATCTTGCAGATTACAAGAGAGTTCTTTGAGTATTTTTGATCAAGGGTCTTGTTTATTGCCCTGAAGTATGACAAAGATCTTGAAGTAATTTCTTCTTGTTGACAACTGCGTCGTTTCGTTCTGATTTTATCTTTAATTTTATCTTTATCACTTGGAGGTTCGATCAAAGATTAAAAGCGCAACAAGCGAAGAAGGTTCGTCGCAGCGAATAAATTAACTTGCTAATTAGTTTCAAAAATTTCTGGCAGATGTGGCGAATACTTAATATATGTGGGATTGAACAGGTTTAGCAGCAAAGACAAGTACATCATCCAGTCTGGTTAGATTTGCATTTTGGCAAACGGAATTTATATCAATATTTATTTTAGTGGATGCAATTAATATTTTCTAAACCAGAAAGTGGGTTTTTAACAAAGCGAGGCTCAGATACTAAAAATAAATACTAGATGCCTAACGTTACATATTCTATTATGCATTGCGAGCTATTCGTTCAGCACTCTGTTTAAATGTTAAGTACCCGGGGACCACAGATCACTGACACCGCATGTCGGTGAGGAAAAATAACACGACTCTAGGTTTGCAACGCGAACGGAATAAACGCAGGGAAAATATCAGCAGATATCAGGGAAAATGTCAGCAACCACAACAATTTGTATTGAAAATTATAATTTAATTGCTTTTGTATATTCAGCTCGCGGTTTCTGTTTTTCAGCCGCTTGGGAGTCCCATGCCGAGATCGCAATTACAAATATTTTTATTCACTTAATTACAATTGTTTTATTTTTTCTGTTTTCCAATTAGCGCCCGGTTTGTTTTCACGTTTCACACACTTTTATTATTGGCAATTTGCTCAGTTGAGCGCGAGTTTTTATAACTCGCTCACTATCTGCGTTGGACACCTGATTACTAACTATATATGCCCGGATTATATGTATTCCCAGTTCTAATCAGAAAACGCTGCTCGTCAGCACATCGACGATGTTGAGAGCTTGAAGGCTACACTCAGACTGCCTTCGGCCCGGCGATGGGGATTCAAATTTAAATGGGATTTACTTCAAACTCTGGCCAGAATTCAATTACCAAGATTTCCCATGGCCCAAAGATGTAAGCAAAACCTTCTGCAGCTGTCGGTTTGTTGGAAACTGCCCTCTGTATTTTGTCTTTTTCGTTGAAAACTTAAATAAACATCATTTCAAAAAGCTAATAAACAGGCACATCAGCCGAGTGACAGATTGATAGCCAATAAAATGTTTAAGTGCAATTATAATACCGAATAATTTTATCAAATTCAATTTGCTTTTGAAAATAATATTATGGAAAAATTTTGGCAATTTGCCGGAATCGTAAATACTTCTGCTCGATTCCCTTAAGCTTTTCTCCGACAAGATCTCAGAAATTGTGCGATAAGATAGAATTGCACTCCAAGGAACTGAGGTGGTATTTATGGCCCCATCATATATCAGTGTATTATCAATACCTAATGGCAATAGCAAAATAAATAATTTCTTTGCCAAAGAGATTATTCACTAAGATGGTATTGAACAATAAACTTAATTCTTCAATTCCTTAAAGTATTTATTAAAATTTATGAGATAGGATGAATTAAAAACTGGATGCAAATAAGATTTCTTGTAGCCAAAAAGACTCTTTTTTACCACGCTTTTATTTATATAAATCACTTAACCCAGACTCACCTAATTCTACGGTGTTGGGTGCATCCCCTAATTCTATTGAGATTACATTTGAACAAGTGGGGGAGTCGGGGCAGACACTTAAATATATTCATGAGAGCTATACGTACCGACAGCTAGAAATTCAAAATGAACTAGAGGCGATCTTTGCACAGATAATGAATATTCGCGCTGTCTGTCAGTGTCTGGGTTGATAAGACAATAAGAGCTATAGCTGGACCAATATATTCACTCTCTGAGCGCCATCTGGTAAAGTGAGTCGACTCATTGCAGCTAGACTTTAAGTATATGAAAAATATTACGTATACGCAGTGGGCACA